CAGAGGAGGGCCACGAGGATGATCGGGGGTTGGGGCACCTCTGCTAAGAGGACAGGCTGAGGGAGCTGGGGTTGTTCAGCCTGGAGAAGAGGAGGCTCTGGGGAGACCTAATAGCAGCCTTCTGGGACCTGAGGGGGCCTACAGGAAGGCTGGGGAGAGCCTTTAGTGCCTGTAGTGACAGGACGAGGGGCAATGCCTTTAAGCTGGAGGGGAGCAGATTTAGGGTGGAGATTGGGAAAAAGTTCTTTACTGTGAGGGTGGTGGAGCACTGGAACAGGTTGCCCAGGGAGGTGGTTGAGGCCCCATCCCTGGAGATATTCAAGGTGAGGCCTGATGAGGCCTGATGAGGCCCTGGGCAACCTGGTCTAGTTGGGGGTGTCCCTGCTGAGTGTGGGGAGGTCGGACCTTTGGAGGTGCCTTCCAGCCTGGACCATTCTATGATTCTATGATACAGGAATGGGACAGGGGTGGCAGGAAGGGCAGGGAGCCATCGGGGTCCAGGGGGTGCAGGAAGCCATTACTGCCCAAATAAGAAAGGTTGGTGAGGGACGACACAGAGCTCCACGGTGCCTTTGGGTAAAGATCCTCTCGCTTCAACACCTTTTCACTGGGCCTGCAGAGGAGAGAGAAGAGACCCCGCTGCACCCCGGCCTGTGTGGTGGGACCCGCGGGCAGCCCCCCCTCCTTGGCCGGTGGGCAGGGCTGCCGAGTGCAGGCAGGGGCAGGGCACAGGGGGGAGGTTCTGGGGTAGGATCTGGGGGTCTCCCCCACACTCACCACTTCTCCTGCTTTGCCCTGGGTGCTGCTCCTTCCTCTGCCAACCGAGAGGCTGTGGAGGGAGGAGAAGGAGTGAGCAGCCGGCACCTCCAGGCACAGCCCCGTCTCAGGGCTCCTCCGTGGGGTGTCGGCCGTTTGTGGGGCGCTCGGTGCCGGGGTCACTCACCGCTCTGCTTCCTCTGCCATTGTCCCTCTGCCTTCTCCCCACTCTTCAACATCTGCTCCTTCTGCCGGCGTATCATTACCCTCCTCAAGTGCATTGCCTTCTTCATCTCCTGCCGTTTTTTCTCCCACCTCCTCTTCCTCTGTTTCTTATTCCACCACTGCAAGGACCCCCAGGAGCTGGGTGAGATGGGAGCAGCTCCTGGCCCCCTGCTGCAGCCCCCACAGCACCCTACGGCAGGGCACAGCCCTGTCACAGGCACCGTCCTGCCGGGCACAGCCCCAGAGCCGCCCGGCCACGCTCCCTGCCCACGGGCACCAGCCAGCGGAGTCTGGGCTCTGCCACAGAGCTCCTGCCCACAGCAGCGGGGATGCTCCTCTCTGACCCTATTTTGGAGGCCTTTTGTTCCAGTCCAAAGCCTTCTCCATCTCCACCCCAAGGCGCTGGGGCCACGCTGGGTCCCCAGCACCCCCAGCTGCTCCTGCTCCTCTGTGGGGCCTCGGGCTGGGAGGGTTCCTGTGGGGGTGGGGGTCACACTGCAGAACCCCTGACACCCCCCACTTCTCCCCCCCACTGGGCCTTGATCGGCCACTGCAACGCTCTGCGCTGCTCCATCTTTACCTCGATGGACAAGAAGGTGGGATTGTCTTCCAGGAAGCGCACCCTCTTCTGTTTCCTCCTCTGTGGGGGGTTGCCGGGGGACAACTGCTCCTCTGCCTTATTGCGTAGAATGGAGCGGGGCATCCGGGGGTCCCGGGGGGGTTGGGAGGGCACAGAGTCCAGTGGGGCCAGGCAGTCCCCCATCGACACCTCCACACTTGGCCTGCAGAGGAGAGAGAAGAGGCCCAGCTGCACCCCGGCCTCTGTGGCGGGACCCGCGGGCAGCCCCCCCCCCTTGGCCGGTGGGCAGGGCTGCCGAGTGCAGGCAGGGGCAGGGCACGGGGGGACAGTCTGGGGCAGGATCTGGGGGTCTCCCCCACACTCACTGCTTCTCCAGAGAGCACTTTTTTCCTGTTCCTTCCTCTGCCACCCGAGAGACTGCGGAGGGAGGAGAAGGAGTGAGCGGCCGGCACCTCCAGGCACAGCCCCGGCTCAGGGCTCTGTGGGGTGTTGGCCGTTTGCAGGGCGCTCGGTGCCGGGGTCACTCACCATTCTGCTCCTCCAACACAGCACTCGCCTCCCTTGTTTCTCCCTTAGACTTCGTACAGCAGCTCTGCAAGGACCCCGAGGAGCTGGGTGAGACGGGAGCAGCTCCCGGCCCCACACTGCAGCCCCCACAGCACCCCACAGCCGGGCGCAGCCCCGCTGCAGGCACCGTCCTGCCAGGCACAGCCCTGGGGCCCCCTGGCCACGCTCCCTGTCGGTGGGTTTGCACGCTGAGCCATTTTCTTTTTCCAGGCTTTGAAAGTGCGGACAAGGTCCTGGAAGCGCTGCTTCTTGTGCATCTCCATGGCTGGGGGGGTTATGGGGGGCAGCTGCACATACATGGGTCTCTGTGCCCTTGCTCCTGTGGGGGGGTCCTGGCTGAGGGGCTCCACTGCTGGACTGGGCCAGGGCTCCAAGGAGGAGAGGGGGCAAAGGTTCTTCATATCATCCTGCTGGGGCTGGGGGGTGTGAGGGGAAGCAAAGGGGGCCATCGAGAAGCTGGACATGAGCAGGCAGTGTGCGGTTGCAGCCCAGGAGGCCAATCACATCCTGGGCTGCATCAAAAGATGCGTTGCTAGCAGGTCCAGAGAGGTGGTTCTGCCACTTTGCTCTGGTGAGATCTCAGCTGGAATACTGTGTGCAGGTCTGGAGGCCTCAATATAGGAAGGACATGGACCTGATGGAGAGGGTCCAGAGGAGGGCCACAAGGATGATCAGGGGGTTGGGGCACCTCTGCTACGAGGACGGGCTGAGGGAGCTGGGGTTGTTCAGCCTGGAGAAGAGGAGGCTCCGGGGAGACCTAATAGCAGCCTTCCGGGACCTGAGGGGGCCTACAGGAAGGCTGGGGAGAGCCTGTTTAGAAAGGCCTGTAGTGACAGGATGAGGGGCAATGGCTTCAAGCTGGAGGGGAACAGATTTAGACTGGAGATGAGGAGAGGGTTCTTCACTGTGAGGGTGGTGGAGCACTGGAACAGGTTGCCCAGGGAGGTGGTTGAGGCCCCATCCCTGGAGATATTCAAGGTGAGGCTCGATGAGGCCCTGGGCCACCTGGTCTAGTTGGGGGTGTCCCTGCTGACTGCGGGGAGGTCGGACTGGATGACCTTTGGAGGTCCCTTCTGGCCTGGACAATTCTATGATTCTGTGATTCTATGATACAGGAATGGGACAGGGGTGGCAGGAAGGGCAGGGAGCCATCGGGGTCCAGGGCGCGCAGGTGGTGCAGGAAGCCATTACTGCCCAAATAAGAAAGGTTGGTGAGGGACGACATGGAGGCCCACGGTGCCTTTGGGTAAAGATCCTCTCGCTTCAACACCTTTTCACTGGGCCTGCAGAGGGGAGAGAAGAGACCCCGCTGCACCCCGGCCTCTGTGGCGGGACCCACGGGCAGCCCCCCCTCCTTGGCCGGTGGGCAGGGCTGCCGAGTGCAGGCAGGGGCAGGGCATGGGGGGACAGTCTGGGGCAGCATCTGGGGGTCTCCCCCACACTCACTGCTTCTCCAGGGACCACTTTTTTCCTGCTCTTTTATCTTCTGGCCGAGAGACTGTGGAGGGAGGAGAAGGAGTGAGCGGCCGGCACCTCCAGGCACAGCCCCGGCTCAGGGCTCCTCCGTGGGGTGTCAGCCGTTTGTGGGGCGCTCGGTGCCGAGGTCACTCACCGCTCTGCTTCCTCTGCCGTTGTCCCTCTGCCTTCTCCCCACTCTTCAACATCTGCTCCTTCTGCCAGCGTATCATTTCCCTCCTCAAGTGCCTTGACTTCTTCATCTCCTGCCGTCTTTTCTCCCACCTCCTCTTCCTCTGTTTCTTATTCCACCACTGCAAGGACCCCCAGGAGCTGGGTGAGATGGGAGCAGCTCCCGGCCCCACACTGCAGCCCCCACAGCACCCTACGGCAGGGCACAGCCCTGTCACAGGCACTGTCCTGCTGCGTACAACCCCAGAGCCTCCCGGCCATGCTCCCTGCTCACGGACACCAGCCAGCGGAGTCTGGGCTCTGCCACAGAGCTCCTGCCCACAGCAGCGGGGATGCTCCTCTCTGACCCCGTTTTGGAGGCCTTTTGTTCCAGTCCACAGCCTTCTCCATCTCCACCCCAAGGCGCTGGGGCCATGCTGGGTCCCCAGCACCCCCAGCTGCTCCTGCTCCTCTGTGGGGCCTCGGGCTGGGAGGGTTCCTGTGGGGGTGGGGGTCCCACTGCAGAACCCCTGACACCCCCCACTTCTCCCCCCCACTGGGCCTTGACCGGCCACTGCAACGCTCTGCGCTGCTCCATCTTTACCTTGATGGAAAAGAAGATGGGATTGTCTTCCAGGAAGCGCACCCTCTTCTGTTTCCTCCTCTGTGGGGGGGTTGCCGGGGGACAACTGCTCCTCTGCCTTATTACGTAGAATGGAGCGGGGCATCCGGGGGTCCTGTGGGTGTTGGGAGTGCACAGAGCCCAGTGGGGCCAGGCAGTCCCCCATTGACACTTCACTTGGCCTGCAGAGCAGAAGAGAGAGGAGACCCCGCTGCACCCTGGCCCCTACCGTGGGAGGCACGGGCAGCCCCCGGGGGAGAGTGAGGGGTGAGGGTCTGGGGCAGGAGCTGGGGGTCTCCCCCACACTCACTGCTTCTCCAGAGAGCACTTTTCCCCTGCTCCTTTATCTTCTGGCTGAGAGACTACGGAGGGAGGAGAAGGAGTGAGCGGCCGGCAGCCCCCGGCACAGCCCCGGCTCAGGGCTCTGTGGGGTGTCGACCATTTGTGGGGTGATCCGTGCTGGGGTCACTCACCATTCTGCTCCTCCAACACGGGGCTTTCCTCCATGCTCATCTCTGGCATCTTCTCCTTCTCCCACCCGCATCTCGCTTCCCAACTCCACACTGCAGCCCCCACAGCACCCCACA